CTGTGGTGCGTTCAGGTGCTCTAGATGTAATAACAGGCTGTGAGGCGTTCAGGTGCTCCAGATGTAATAACAGGCTGTGGTGCGTTCAGGTGCTCTAGATGTAATAACAGGCTGCGAGGCGTTCAGGTGCTCCAGATGTAATAACAGGCTGTGGTGCGTTCAGGTGCTCTAGATGTAATAACAGGCTGTGGTGCGTTCAGGTGCTCTAGATGTAATAACAGGCTGTGAGGCGTTCAGGTGCTGTAGATGTAATAACAGGCTGTGAGGCGTTCAGGTGCTCTCGATGTAATAACAGTGTTTGGTGCGTTCAGGTGCTCTAGATGTAATAACAGCTATGTTGCGTTCAGGTGCTCTAGGTGCTGCGAGGCGTTCAGGTGCTCTAGATGTAATAACAGTGTGTGGTGCGTTCAGGTGCTCTAGATGTAATAACAGTGTGTGGTGCGTTCAGGTGCTCTAGATGCTGTGAGGCGTTCAGGTGCTCTAGATGTAATAACAGGCTGTGAGGCGTTCAGGTGCTCTAGATGTAATAACAGTGTTTGGTGCGTTCAGGTGCTCTAGATGTAATAACAGGCTGTGGTGCGTTCAGGTGCTCTAGATGTAATAACAGTGTGTGGTGCGTTCAGGTGCTCTAGATGTAATAACAGTGGTGCGTTCAGGTGCTCTAGATGTAATAACAGTGTTTGGTGCGTTCAGGAGCTCTAGATGTAATAACAGGCTGTGGTGCGTTCAGGTGCTCTAGATGTAATAACAGGCTGTGGTGCGTTCAGGTGCTCTAGATGTAATAACAGTGTGTGGTGCGTTCAGGTGCTCTACATGTAATAACAGGCTGTGGTGCGTTCAGGTGCTCTAGATGTAATAACAGGCTGTGGTGTGTTCAGGTGCTCTAGATGTAATAACAGGCTGTGAGGCGTTCAGGTGCTCTAGATGTAATAACAGGCTGCGAGGCGTTCAGGTGCTCTAGATGTAATAACAGGCTGTGGTGCGTTCAGGTGCTCTAGATGTAATAACAGGCTGTGAGGCGTTCAGGTGCTCTAGGTGTAATAACAGGCTGCGAGGCGTTCAGGTGCTCTAGATGTAATAACAGGCTGTGAGGCGTTCAGGTGCTCTAGGTGTAATAACAGGCTGCGAGGCGTTCAGGTGCTCTAGATGTAATAACAGGCTGTGGTGCGTTCAGGTGCTCCAGATGTAATAACAGGCTGTGGTGCGTTCAGGTGCTGTAGATGTAATAACAGGCTGTGAGGCGTTCAGGTGCTCTAGATGTAATAACAGGCTGTGGTGCGTTCAGGTGCTCTATATGTAATAACAGGCTGCGAGGCGTTCAGGTGCTCTAGATGTAATAACAGGCTGTGGTGCGTTCAGGTGCTGTAGATGTAATAACAGGCTGTGGTGCGTTCAGGTGCTCTAGATGTAATAACAGGCTGTGGTGCGTTCAGGTGCTCCAGATGTAATAACAGGCTGTGGTGCGTTCAGGTGCTCTAGATGTAATAACAGGCTGTGGTGCGTTCAGGTGCTCCAGATGTAATAACAGGCCGTGGTGCGTTCAGGTGCTCTAGATGTAATAACAGGCTGTGGTGCGTTCAGGTTCTCTAGATGTAATAACAGGCTGTGAGGCGTTCAGGTGCTCTAGATGTAATAACAGTGTGTGGTGCGTTCAGGTGCTCTAGATGTAATAACAGGCTGTGAGGCGTTCAGGTGCTCTAGATGTAATAACAGGCTGCGAGGCGTTCAGGTGCTCTAGATGTAATAACAGGCTGTGGTGCGTTCAGGTGCTCTAGATGTAATAACAGGCTGTGAGGCGTTCAGGTGCTCTAGGTGTAATAACAGGCTGCGAGGCGTTCAGGTGCTCTAGATGTAATAACAGGCTGTGAGGCGTTCAGGTGCTCTAGGTGTAATAACAGGCTGTGAGGCGTTCAGGTGCTCTAGATGTAATAACAGGCTGTGGTGCGTTCAGGTGCTCCAGATGTAATAACAGGCTGTGGTGCGTTCAGGTGCTGTAGATGTAATAACAGGCTGTGAGGCGTTCAGGTGCTCTAGATGTAATAACAGGCTGTGGTGCGTTCAGGTGCTCTAGATGTAATAACAGGCTGCGAGGCGTTCAGGTGCTCTAGATGTAATAACAGGCTGTGGTGCGTTCAGGTGCTGTAGATGTAATAACAGGCTGTGGTGCGTTCAGGTGCTCTAGATGTAATAACAGGCTGTGGTGCGTTCAGGTGCTCTAGATGTAATAACAGGCTGTGGTGCGTTCAGGTGCTCCAGATGTAATAACAGGCTGTGGTGCGTTCAGGTGCTGTAGATGTAATAACAGGCTGTGAGGCGTTCAGGTGCTCTAGATGTAATAACAGGCTGTGGTGCGTTCAGGTGCTCTAGATGTAATAACAGGCTGTGAGGCGTTCAGGTGCTCTAGATGTAATAACAGTGTTTGGTGCGTTCAGGTGCTCTAGATGTAATAACAGTGTGTGGTGCGTTCAGGTGCTCTAGATGTAATAACAGTGTGTGGTGCGTTCAGGTGCAATAACAGCTGTGGTGCGTTCAGGTGCTCTAGGTGCTGCGAGGCGTTCAGGTGCTCTAGATGTAATAACAGTGTGTGGTGCGTTCAGGTGCTCTAGGTGCTGCGAGGCGTTCAGGTGCTCTAGATGTAATAACAGGCTGTGGTGCGTTCAGGTGCTCTAGATGTAATAACAGTGTGTGGTGCGTTCAGGTGCTCTAGATGCTGTGAGGCGTTCAGGTGCTCTAGATGTAATAACAGGCTGTGAGGCGTTCAGGTGCTCTAGATGTAATAATAGCTATGTTGCGTTCAGGTGCTCTAGATGTAATAACAGGCTGTGGTGCGTTCAGGTGCTCTAGATGTAATAACAGGCTGTGGTGCGTTCAGGTGCTCTAGATGTAATAACAGGCTGTGGTGCGTTCAGGTGCTCCAGATGTAATAACAGGCTGTGGTGCGTTCAGGTGCTCTAGATGTAATAACAGGCTGTGGTGCGTTCAGGTGCTCCAGATGTAATAACAGGCCGTGGTGCGTTCAGGTGCTCTAGATGTAATAACAGGCCGTGGTGCGTTTAGGTGCTGTAGATGTAATAACAGTGTGTGGTGCGTTCAGGTGCTCTAGATGTAATAACAGTGTGTGGTGCGTTCAGGTACACAAGCTTCTGATCGTGGTGGAGCTTCTTCTCGGGGAGATTCCTGACCGGCTGCAGTTCAGACAGCCGTCCCTGAAGAGGTCTCTGATGCCGTACTTCTTGCTGACTCAGGGTCAGTACACACACTGATATACCTGGAGAGGTCTCTGATGCCGTACTTCTTGCTGACTCAGGGTCAGTACACACACTGATATACCTGGAGAGGTCTCTGATGCCGTACTTCTTGCTGACTCAGGGTCAGTACACACACTGATATACCTGGAGAGGTCTCTGATGCCGTACTTCTTGCTGACTCAGGGTCAGTACACACACTGATATACATGGAGAGGTCTCTGATGCCGTACTTCTTGCTGACTCAGGGTCAGTACACACACACACTGATATACCTGGAGAGGTCTCTGATGCTATACTTCTTGCTGACTCAGGGTCAGTACACACACACTGATATACCTGGAGAGGTCTCTGATGCTGTACTTCCTGCTGACTCAGGGTCAGTACACACACTGATATACCTGGAGAGGTCTCTGATGCCGTACTTCTTGCTGACTCAGGGTCAGTACACACACTGATATACCTGGAGAGGTCTCTGATGCCGTACTTCTTGCTGACTCAGGGTCAGTACACACACACTGATATACCTGGAGAGGTCTCTGATGCCGTACTTCTTGCTGACTCAGGGTCAGTACACACACTGATATACCTGGAGAGGTCTCTGATGCTGTACTTCCTGCTGACTCAGGATCAGTACACACACTGATATACCTGGAGAGGTCTCTGATGTTTCTTTAAAGGGGACCTATCATGCAAAATGCACTTTTGTATGTCTTTTCTACATGAATATGTGTCCCCG